CATTCGCACAGTGGTGGCGACGACTAAGATGCAGGAGCACGCGGGGAGCGACAAGTCGTGCGTGTGGCACGCGCTGGACTTCGCCGACGGTGAGCTCAAGGAGGAGATGTTCGCTATCCGTTTTGGATCTGTCGAGAGTGAGCACCATATCTTACCTCTTTATCTCTCCCTGCATCTGTTCATAGCTTGCAGCTTACACTGTCATAATGTTTGGTACCTCTGTTGATTGAACTATTTGTTGTTGTTTTGGCTTACTTTTGTCTTAGAAAAGTTGATTGATCACTGGCCTTTGGATCTATGAATTATGTGATAAGCTAAGTTTGTTGGATGCCATTCATATATTGTATTTGTTTTTTATGTATATTGTTCGGTGACCCTCCTTGACATTATGAATGCCCCATCAATTCTTAGTTGTTTCGTACTGGGCTTCGAACTCATAGTGCTGTCCTCATAACAATCATCAATAAAGCTTCATGTTTCCTGTTTCCATGATATGGTTTTGTTTCGCATTTGCCTGTATTTCTGGCATCCTACTCTTGGTGCAGTCACAGGCTGTCTGCTGTTCTTCAAGTATTTTAAGTTACTTCCAATGTGGGAGAATACTTGTGCTCAAAGCAAAACATATTTTATTTCCATTGATCGCGATAGAACCTACTCTAAAATTAGCGAACTGCTACTTTGGTCTCTAAACATGAATAGCAAGTTTCAATAGTGGAAGACCTGTAACTCACGACTTGGTAGCAAAAGTGCCAAGTTGGAAATGGTCTGAGACTGAGCTAATTTTGATCGCCATTGGACCTTTTGTTGCCATGTGTCGTGTATATCTAGCATTACTTTTGCCTTGACATTTAGCAGCCATGCTGTTACTTAGCTAATTATGTGATCACAACATGCCGATATTGCTGAATGGATCACCTTTTGCAGCTCTGCGTTAGCATGCATGCATGCTACTCACGTACTGCCACATGCATCATGAATAACTGATTAATTTTGCACACTCAGGTACTAGATTATTGAGGTTAATGTGGCTACTCAATGCACCATGAATAATTAACTTTAATGTCACACTTCCATTAAGCTACCGCATCTATTGGTTAGCCTATGCACGACCTTCATGTTTATATAGGACCATAGTAGCAGTATACTCCAAGGACCTAACAATTTAGTTTCCAGGGATCTTGGCAGCTTTTCCCTGTGTTAGAAGGGCATCAGTTGGTTGCTTGCTTATTTTGAGACATTTGCGGGATGATGATATGTATCATGCTTGTATTGTTGGAAATTTTGTTTGATATCTACAAATATCTGACAGATCATCAGCGTTGTAGTTTAGGTATTGATTGCTATTTTTAGTTAGAGTAAATTGCACGGCCGGTCCTTAAACTATTAGACGGATTTCATCTGAGCCCCCAAACTACGAAATCACACATTTGGCTCCCTAATGTATTTAAGTGATCTCATTTAGGTCCAAAATAGATACGAGGAGGGTTAGAAACTGACGTGGCCGTCCATTTGGACGATTTAAGGTGACATGGCTCTTTCCCCTTGCCCGTCTTCCTCCTCCATCTCTGGCGCTAGCTTCACCAGCGCTAGCTCCCAGCTTCCCACTCCGCTTTCCCAGGCTCGCCATCTCCACCAGCGCTAGCTCCCAGTCTCCCACTCCGCCTTTCCGGGCTCTACCGCCGGCTTCTGCCACACCGAGGTCACCGCTGGCTCCGAGGCGGCGGCGTAGGCGTCCGATTCCAATGGGAACATGACCCAGGTGTCGTTCATGGCTGGTGGCGCGGAGAAGAACGTGAGCGCCAGCTTGTTGCCCCGCTCGTCCGCGGTGGCAGCCGGTTCTCTAAGGTCCACGGTCCACCAGGTCGCTCTAGTCAGACTCCTTCGCAGCCACCACTAGTCTGGCGGCGTCGGCGCCATCGAACGCCCGCTGCTTTGTTAAATGGCGTTGACGCCGAGGCGCCGGCGACTCTAGGAGGTGGTTGAGAGCAGCAGAGGCGCCGCCAAAACTTCGTCGCGGATCGTCATGACCGTCGGCGGGACCTCGCTTCGCGTCTTGGCAGCGGACCTCGCGCCCACCGTGGAGCCTTGCTCGAGCGATCACCGGCGGACCTCGTCTTTGCCGCGGATCGTGGCTTCTTGCTGCGTGTCATGAGACCTCCAGCGAGCCGTGGGTGGGTGAAACGCTGAGACGCGGAACGCTCCGGGCTCCCAGCCCGCGGATGGAGACGACGACAGACGCCGGCGACGGCCGAGGTCTGATCTCGCAGACGGCGGATCTTTGCCCGACCACCGCGACAGCGCGGCACTCAAACCACAAACCACCGCGCTCTGTCATCCGATTCGGGCGCCACCGGCCGGGCCAGACGGCAGCGAGCACCGCCGGCATCCTCGCCGAGAGTCGCCACCTCGTGTCCAAGCTCCACATGGCGGGCGTCGGTGCCGCCGCCGTCACACGCCTCCGCACGAGAGACCATCCACCTCCACGGCGTCCGCAAGGTGGTCTCCGGCGACGACCACTTCACCGCTTTCGCCTCGCCGCGCCAAGCTCGTGGAACACGCTTAGGCCGCCGCCGACTGCGCGCGCTGCCGCCGATGAGCGGACGAGGCGAAGCGTCGCGCGCAGCTCCGGCGTGGCTGCGCGGTGCCGCGGCGACCCGGTCTGGCGGGCGATGGCGCGTGGTGCTATCTGGGATCTCGAGTGGTCGGCGCCGATGGCGCCGCGATGTTGCGGTGGCGGCGGGCGCAGCCGAGCGAAGGGACCCAGCGGCGGCGCGGGGTGGGAGCGACACCGGCAGCGTGCTGCTGCTGCAGAGTCTGCAGTTCGCGGAGCACGATAGGGTGGACGCGGCGGCGGTGGAGCTCTTGGTGGGGCTCAACTATGGGTGGCGGTTCGAGAAGGAGATGATGAGCTGCCGCACTCTGTCATCCAGTCCGGAGCTGCAGCGACGGGTGCGGCTCGGCCGGTGGCATCATGTCCGACGACGATGGCGCGTGCGGTGCATCCAGTCCGCGCAGTCCCACGTGCGGTGCCTTTGCGCGCTTAGGACAGACACCATTGTTTGGATCGACGCCCGCATGCTCCGGTACTCCGCGAGCCCCTTCTTCGGCGAGGTCGATCGGGACCACCAGGCCTTCGTGCTCCTGGCCATGCCGGCGGCGAGGTCGGCCGAGCTCAACCGGGCAAGGGAAAATGGACAGCCATGTCAGCTTATAACCATCATCGTGGATAGCCATGTCAGCTTCTAACCCTGCTCGTGTCTATTTTGGACCTAAATGAGATCACTTAAATACATTAGGGAGCCAAATGTACGATTTCATAGTTTGGGGGCTCAGATGAAATCCGTCTGCTACTTTAAGGACCGGCCGTGCAATTTACTCTTTTAGTTATATTCCGGTCTCAAAATAAATCAACTTCTAGAGTTGTAGTAAGTCAAACTATTTTAAGTTTGTCCAACTTCATAGAAAAGAACACCAACATGTATGACATCAAATAAGTATGTATATTATGAAAAACATATTTCATGGTGTATCTAATCTAATAATTTGAATTTGGTGCCGTGCTCTTTTGATGTATTTGGTCAAACCTAAAAATGTTTAACTTCGGACAACTTTAGATGTTGGAAATTAGAAAGTGTTCTTTTATACTTTTGATGATAATTTGAATTGTGGTGTTAGGTTGGGTTTACTTTTGTTTCTTTCTGAGATATCAATTGCTGTTGAATGATGATAGTATGACAATTTTATATTTTTGGATTGTATGACAATTTTATATTTTTGGATCCTTGTTTATTTTGAATTTGCTGCTTACTCTCTTGCAATTCTATTCAGATTGCAAGAAGTTTAAGGATATTGTTGAAGAGATAGCTGAACAGCAAGGAAAGACTGAGGAGAAAGAAAACGAGGAAGCCTCCACTGCCGCCGATTTGGTACAGAAGTTAACGGTGACAGAGGCCAGCAAGGAGGAAACTGCGGAGAAAGAGGAGGCTCCTGCATCTGATGATAAGAAGGATGCTAAAGATTGAAGGCGTTTGTATACGCAAACAAGGGTCAAATGAGTGTCCTTCCATTCATTTTGTTGTCAAGGTTCATCTTCCCTCCACAAATTTTCATTGTGTTTTCTCTGGGATGAATGTTTGTGTTTGGTGAAATCAGAGTCATCAGTCATCTACATGGTTTTCTTGGTTGATAGACTGTTATTTTTTAAGTTGTCTGTTTATCTGGGATGGCTGGGGTCAGCATGTCTGTACAATTACTTGGAGTTGCTTTTGGAATGGACGCTGTTTGACGAGTTGCCTAAAGCTTGAAATGGTGGTGATGTGTTTTTTGCTCCACTTCTCTTATTCGTTTTCAATAATATGAGATGCTATACTTTGTTGATCATCTTTATCGTTGAGGTTTGCCCTTCCGTATGCAGTGCACTCTTGTGCAAATCTTCTTACCAAGCCATCCACATATACCTATACCTATTCGTGGTTTGGTACCAAACCGCTGGAACCGCCAAATAAGGCAGACCAAACCCCAAAGCTAGTTTCAGGCTGGTTGATTTGACTCATTGGCCCGTCGACAAAACCATTCAACCCGCCTCCTTCGTCCTTACTCTTCGATCTGCTGTCACCATGGGTGGTGGTCACGCGCTCACTCTCGCCCCAGGCCGCACGGCGCATGCCTTCGCCGGAGCCAAGCACGGCTTCGCCCCAGGCCTCATGGTGCTCTCCTTCGCGGGAGCCGGAGCCACAGCAGAGCAGCTCGTGCCTCCTCCAGCGTCCCCTCGTGCCGCTCTGCGCTCACCTTTGCCGGGCGGCGCGGCATATGGAAGCTCCTCGCCTTGCAGCGCAACGCACCTGCGTGGGTTGGAGGCGTGATGAGGCGCCGCGCCGAGTACCATTATGGCACTTTCCGGTTTCGCCACCGCTCCTGGCTAGGCCGTCGCCAAGCACCAGCGAGCCGCGCTGCTGCAACTCAGTGAGGGGACGGGAACAAGGACGCGAGGAGTAAGACACCTACGGCTCAGTACGGGACGGATCCAGCCTCATGCCGTTGCCATCAGCAACCAATGGCCATGGCGCGACCACAACCTGCAGATCCGGCAACAGCTTGCTGACACCCATGCTAGCCGTCATCGTCGGTAGCACAACTCTCGGCGCCGCCTTCACCACTCGGCCTGGATCCGCTCGACTGAGTAGTAGATTGGATTAGGCGGTTTAAAACCATTAGCCTGCCTAAACCAACCCGTTAAAACCGGCTATTTATGGTTTGATCTAAGTTCTGTCCAGAAACCGCCCAAAATCGTGATTGAGCAGGCAAATCCACATCCTTCAATCTTTGTTCAAGTGCAACAAGGCAAGATCTCCCATAGGATACCTTGCGATATTATGTACCGTGGAGCAATCTTCACCTGCTATCTGAATACCTATTACGGTGGAATTGTATCGTCATGGTAGCCAGGAGTGCAGGACATGATGTTCCCAATGATGTGCAATAAAAACCTACGCTGAAATCTTCGTGATCCACGGGATGCGCGTCGTACTCATTGCCGGTACGTACATTCCCATGGTAGGCAGGGCACGAATACCTCCATGGGCCCATGGCATTGGTGTGCATATCTTCCATGATGCCGGAACGTGATGAACGCGTGGATCCCCTGCGTACTTGGCTCGCGTCCATCCGTGGTACCGGCACATCGTCTTGAAGTCACTTTTGTCCAGGGACAGGGCGAGGTGACAGTAAGCTGTTGGTGTATCGCAGCTGTGTGATCCCTTCCCATCCATGGGCTGAGATTGAGATTGATGCGCATTGTAGCGCGGGTACACATGTTTTCAGCGCGAATATGTGATACCCGTAGCCACCCATTGATGGCGGTGGTTGCGCGCGCCTTACGACGGGTAAGAATGGCACGGCCCAACGGGATGCCGATGCTTCCTTCCCAGCTGCTGTTTTTCAGCAAGGGAATTTTGCGATTCATGTACGTGCGTCGTGTGGTACGGACAGACCCGATCTGAAGAAAATTTTGGCAATTCGCGTACAAAACAGACCCTCTCTGAAAACCGGAACAAAATCTTTGTGCTGCAAAGATTTCAGAGTCACGCATTCACGCGCTGCTGTGGGAGCCTGCGACTCTGCTGTCTGCTCTGCTTCGGCGTGGTACTCAGCACAGCAGTTGTGTCTGCTCTGCTTCGCCGTGGTATCAGCACGCTTCTGCCTGGCATTTTGCCAGCTGCATTTCCTGAAAAGAGTAGAATCCTATCGTTTTGCCGTTCTGCAGATCCATGTCTACCTGTCATTCTGGGCCAGTTCAGAATCCAGACCACCATGGCAATGGCAACATGGAAATGCCCTTTTGCAATTCCAGAATAAGCGTCCTGTTTTCTTTTCTTCCTTTTTTTACCCCCAGCGAGTGTAATTAGAAGTACTAATTAGTCAGCTTGGGAGTACTGAGCAATAGCATTTCCGATAAAAGAAACGCTAGTTTGCCCTGAGGGTCGAGTTGAGCTTGTGCCGATACGCGCCGGCGCTGACGGCTGATCAACCGATCATGGACGGCCACCCAGTCACCCACCCGATCAAGGAAGAACGCATGCAAAACGCAAACGGCATGCAAAGCCCATTGGCTGCTTGTTTCGACGCAAATTTGGATTGCATTGAATTGAGTGGACAAAGGGAAAACAGTACAGTACATGGTACTAGCACAGGTACAACGGCCGACGGCGGCCAGCCGAGTCCTACTCCTACCACCCCAAACCCGCATTTATACCGACAGCGGTGACTGTGACAACCAGGACGGGTATGGCCACAGCGGAGCCCGCTGCCGCTGCCGCTGCCGAGGACGAGGACGAGGACGAGGACGTCACGATCACGGCCGTCGGAGAAGGCGGCGGCGCTGGGTACGGGCGCACTTGCGTTGCCGTTTCTTGGCGCCTCGGAACTGGGAGGTGGAGGTGGGGCCCGGGTGTCGGCTGCCCAGGTGGCCCCGGTCCCCCACTCCACTTCTTCCCAGTCCCAGCTAGTCCGCGGCCCATTTGCGGCCAATTCGGCGACCCGCCCCTTGGCGCGCGCCATGACCTCGTGCTTGCTCTCGGTCTCCGCGTCGTCCAGCGCCTCGGAGTCCGAGGAATCCGACGGGGCCCAGTCGAGGACCGCCCGAGGCGACGGAGATGGAGACGGGGACGGGGATGGCCACGGCTCCCTGGCGTCGTCGCCAGCGTCCGTGGAAAGGAACGGGTGGCGCAGCAGCTGCTCGCAGCTCCACCGCTGGGCCGCGTCGCGGCGGAGGCACTTGTCGAGGAAATCGCGGCACGCGTCCGACAGGCACGCGGGGATCGCGGGGCGCTTCCCGCCGAACCCGACGAGGAGCAGCAGCTCGCCGACCTCGCTGGCGCCGCCGAGCTCCGACCACGGACGCTTCCCCGTGAGCAGCTCGAGCGCGGTGCAGCCCAGGGACCAGACGTCCGACGCCGGCGTCGCCGCGCCGCCGCGCGCGACCTCCGGAGCCATCCACGCTGGCGTCCCGCGCGGCCCGCGGGGCGTCGTCGCGGCGTCGGAGACCAGCCTCGCCGCGCCGAAGTCAGCGAGCTTCGCGCCGCCGCAGCCTTGGGCGTCGCGGCGGCAGCCGAGGAGCACGTTCCGGCCCTTGACGTCCCCGTGCACGACGCCGGCCTCCTCGTGCAGGTACCGCAGCGCGGCGACCACGCTCCGCAGGACGCCGCGCGCGCCGCGCTCACCGAGGCCCCCGTGCGTCGCCGCCGCCTCCGCGGCGCTGCCGCCGGGCACCAGCTCCATGTGCAGGTTCCTCGTCGCCCCCGTCGCGCCGTCATCGCCGAGGTACGCCACCACGTGGGGCGAGCTCAGCCGCTTCAGGATCCTTATCTCGCTCTCCAGGCACGCCATGGCCGCCGCCGGCGCGCTCTTCGCGTCCACCGACTTCACGGCGAAGGCGCGGCCCGTGGCCGTGTCCACGGCGAGGTGCACCGTGCCGAAGGCGCCCTTGCCGATGCATTTCCCGCGCAGCCACTCCATGTCCGAGCGTCTTCTTTGAATTGAAATTGGAGCAGAGCCGACGAGTGGGAGGAACAGAGTGGGACAGGGAGAGGTGTGGAGGATGAGTGAATTGCGAAAGGAAAGGAGTGCAAGAAACGGGGGAGTGTGCCGAGGGCGCTTATATAGGTGAGGTTCCGGCGCCCTGCAATTTGTGTGTAAAGGGATTTCGGCCTGGGGTTTTCTTTCCCCCGTTTTTTTTCTCTCTCGTTGGCCTGTCCTTTGCTGGGATATCAACTTGATTCGCATGTTGGTCGGACGGGATATTAAACCGATTTTTTTATTTTTTAACCCTTATTTTTGAAATTCTTTCATAAATATGCTCTCGAATGTAAGATTTCAAAATCTGTACCTTTATCTCGACACCATCGTTGCTAGCGTCAAGTTTACACGTCTCGGCATCAGCTCTTAGACTCGAAGCAGACGTGGCGGTGACATGGCAGGAAGCTCGGCGCCAGTCACCCTGGCGCTGAGCTCGGCGCCAGGGTGAGTGACGCCGAGCCTGTCTTACGTATGGGTCCTAATCCTTTCTCTCTTCCTCTCCTTCTCTCTCGCACCTCCCTCGTCCGACCAACACACTGCTGAAAGCTCTAGTTTGGTTTTGGTTAATTGATGAAACCCTAAGTGCTAACCTAGTTTATCAAGATGATTATGAGATAGGTAGCACTACTCCAAGTGATGAAGCAATGACGAAGATCATGACAATGGTGATAGCATGGTGATGATCAAATGCTTGAACTTGAAAAAGAAGAAAGAGAAAAACAAAAGGCTCAAGGCAAAGGTATAAAATGTAGGAGTCATTTTGTTTTAGTGATCAAGACACTTAGTGAGTGTGATCACATTTAGGATAGATAGCCGTACTATTAAGAGGAGTGTAACTCGTATCGAAATGCGGTTATCAAAAGTGCCACTAGATGCTCTAACTCATTGCATATGCATTTAGGATCTAGTGGAGTGCTAACACCCTTGAAAATATTTATAAAAATATGCTAACACATGTGCACAAGGTGTTTGCAGGGTTGAGATGGGTTTGGGTCCCTCAAGCTCGGCGGGATTCGGCGCTTTTGGAAAAATGAAATGTCTATTTTCTATTGCGCCGGATGCAAAATTCTTAGTGGTTGGCACATTTGAGCAAGGGTGAAGAAGTTAGAGTTGAAATGGAGTTGGTCGAAATGATGCTGGCGTCGGTCTACTGACCGGACGCTGGGTCACTCAGCGACCAGACGCTGAAAGGCTGCGTCCGGTCGAGCTGTCAGACGGCACAGTGGGTATGGTTGAGCACCGGACGCTGGTCTGCGTCCGGTCAAGGTGGACCAGACGCGTCCGGTCGAAAAAACATGCCTCGGGGAGCTTACTGGAAACGACCGGACGCTGGGGCTTCAGCGTCCGGTCAGTTTTGACCAGAGCGTCCGGTCAGCTTCGTAGCCGTTGAAATCTGATGAACAGCGTTTGAAGCTGGTGACGCGTGGCGTCCATCGAGCGACCGGACGCTGAGGGCCAGCGTCCGGTCGGTATGATCAGAGCGTCCGGTCAGAGCGTGTTGCCCAGTGAAGGAGTACAATGGCTCTATTTGATGGGGGCTCTATTTATAGCCCCATGGCCGGCTCAAGGAAAAAACCCTTGCACATTTTTATTGACATAGCAACCTTGTGAGCTCAGCCAAAGCCCTCCCACTCATCTCCATCATTGATCCATCATCATTGTGAGATTGGGAGAGAATCCAAGTGCATTGCTTGAGTGATTGCATCTAGAGGCACTTGGTATTCGTGTTGCGCTGCGGATTTCGCTTGTTTCTCTTGGTGGTTTCCACCACCTAGACGGTTGGAGCAGCGGTGAAGGATCGGCACGAGTTGGTGATTGTTCGTGGCCACCTTCGGTGATTGTGAGGGGAGTTGTACCTTCCCCGGCGGAGTGCCGAAAGGTAACTCTAGTAAATTGCTCGTGTCATTGAGTTACCTCACTTGTGGGTCGGTTCTTGCGGTGTCCTATCGTGTGGACGAGGTTTGTGAAACACCTCTTAGCCGCCGAACCACCAAGTGTTGGTCGACACAATGGGGACTAGCGTGTTGGCAAGCACGTGAACCTCGGGAGAAAAATCGGTTGTCTCTTGTCATTTGCATTCTCCCGGTGATTGGCTATATATTCATCGTGTAATTGGTTCACTCCACGACCCGGCGGTATAATCGTCTCACTTACTCATTTACATTTCCGCAAACTAGATATAACAAGCTCTTTAGTGTAATTAGAATTGAGAGCTTGCCTTGTGCTTTAAACATATCTAGTGGAGCTCTTTAGTGTAGCATTTGTGAGAGCTCTTAGTGAGTAGTGGTCAAGTAGATTGTGTGCCAATAGATCATTGCAACTAGAATTGTTGGATAGGTGGCTTGCAACCCTTGTAGAGCTAGAGCAAGTTTGCATTTCGCTATTTGTCTTACTAATCAAATTGCTCTAGTTGATTTGTAGTTTTTAAATAGGCTATTCACCCCCCTCTAGCCATATTAGGACCTTTCAACTGCCGCCGTCGCCCGCGCCCTCTCCCACGCCCGCGCCTCGCCGTGCCTCGCGCCCGCGCCGCGCAGCCACCGAGGCCTCCCCGCGCCCGCGGCCGCCTTGGCCGGGCCCCGCTGCGCCGGTGCCGTGACCGTGACCGTGCCGCCCTTTCCTCCTCTAACACCCTCCGTCTCTCCAATCCTTATTTGTCAAGCCTAACATCGATCGGGTTACGAATACCGCGCTGTCTAGCAAACTCACGCATCTTCTTTTTGTGATGTTTAACGAATAGGTTGACGTAGTCAGGTCCATATCCCATCTTCCGTGCAATTACTTGCCTCCCCTTTAGTTCATTCAAGAACTTAGCTTGACCATCATAACATTCCCACCTGTATTTCCTAGTGCTCTATTCAAACGAAAAATTATATCATATATGTCTTAGCAAAAGAAATAAAATATTATTTCATGTTTACCACAAAAATAACCAACCTAATCATAGTCAACCATTTGGCCGTAATAATGGCCTATTCCAAGCTCCGAAGAGACTAGACCGTAGTTAGATTTAACATCACATTCGCACTTGACTGGAGGTGCTTTGTAAATTAACCTTTTTTCTTCTTTTCCTTTGCCTTTGGTGGCTCCGGCCATTGATTCTTAGGACCATAGAGCCACTCCTTGAAACGACACTTCGCAAATCCATACAGCTATAAGAGGAGACATTAGTACACACATATAGAGCTAAACATTTAAACAGATACACTTTCCACTTACTTCGTGTTTGTTCGGACACACAAACTCCAAAGTATTCTCAGGGTTTATCACAGCTCGATCTCCGTATTCGCACAGAGGAGGTTCCTCAAGTCGTCTAACTGCGGCTAGGTGCTTCTTCTTAGCCATCATTGGCGGGGGGGGGGGGTTAGGGGCTAAAACCCACCGCTTGAAGTGCTCACGTGGATGTCTCCCTCTAAACCAATCGTCGAAAAGGAGGTACATAGGGTCAAACTTGTCTGCACCATCGATCCACTGAAAGAAAAAGCACCTCTCATGATCCTACACAACCAGATTCCAATAAAATATTAGTAGCATACTTACACAAATAAAGAAAAAAAGATAGTGAAAACAATTTCTTATATTAAAACGACTGCATGTGTAGAAGCAACGCGCCGCTGTGTCCGGATGTTTCGATTGAAACACGTGGGCTGGGAAACCACAGTCACAGTTAGGGACTGTGAGGTCAGGAGGGATGGGGGCATCTTTGCTAGACGCGTCGGGGTATGATTTTTGAGGACGACCCCATTTTCTTCAAAACTCCTCCCGATACATTTCTTGCATCTAACAAAACGGATGTAATTTAACAAACAAAAATCAAAACATCACAAATTAATATCAATGAGAATCATAACTACAATACAACCAATTTCGTTATAAGAACCGAAAGCAAATAACATTAAACTCTAAACCTAGGGTTTCCAATGTTATGCACAACAATGAACCCATAAAACATAACAACATGCGCTGCGGTTACCTAGGTATAATACAAATATTAAAAATTGTATGAAACCCTAAGTAATGATGATTCTTAGGTTCAAAAATCCGACTAATATATACTGAATCGATGCGAAAAAAACTAGGAGGGGAGCGAGGATACCTTGCTCTCGAAGATCTACGGATCAAATCAAAGTTTCCAAGGTCCAATATACCGATTCGTGAGGTAGGGCGAAGTGGGGAGAGAAAAAACCCGAGAGGGAGGAGAAAGAAGAGGAAGAAGGCTCGAACAGGAAGGTTGGGGTCGGGGTTAAAACACCAGCTCGACGCCATAGATCATGGCGCCAAGCTCGGAGCCAAGATCTACGGCGCCGAGCTCGGCGCTAGGAACTACGGCGCCGAGCTTCCTGTCATGTCACCGCCACGTCTGCTTTGAGCCCAAGAGCGCTGGCGCCGAGACGTGTAAGCTCGGCGCCGAGCTAAGGGTCTAGATTTTGAAATCTTAACTCTAGGAGCATATTTGTGAAAAAATCGAAAAAATGCTAAAAAATTCAGGATATTAAACTCGTCCGAATATTTATGGGATATCATGGAGAATGAACCGACGGGGTCTTGGTTTTCCGTAGGGGGAGACAAACAGAGAGGACGCTGTGCAACTTGTAATGTTATCTTCGAGGTGCCGCTGCGTTGAGGCCACATGGGCAAAGATTTGGGCTGAGTTTGATGGGGTTTCCCCCTGGATACATGGATGGATGACATTTACTCGCAAGGCTTCCTCACCGGTTAGGCTGATAGGACGAGTAACGCTGTCACTATATGACTTTGTTCTATGGAATGTATGGTATTGGTTGATTAAGTTCACCGCAGTTATTTTCTTTGACGGTCACCAACTATGCCTGGCAGTAACAGTGCGCAACATATTGAACTGATTTATACACGTCTGTTTTTTCTCCAAAGATGATTACTCTTTGTCCCATAGAAAGTGTCATCCTCGCTTCCAGAAAGTC